CTGTTGTATAATCTTTCATTTGTAAAGAACTTGCCTTTTCAGGGGAGGATTTTTTTGACATCTCTGTGGATGGAGATCATATGAAGAGGATCAGATGAGCAACCATGACAATTTCGATTGGATTAGGAGTGGAGAGGTTTGGAGGGGGAGCGAGAAGAAAGTGGGAGGAGGAAATAAAGTGGAAATTTTGGTATTCATTATTATGAAGTAATATAAAAATCAATAGAAGATAACCAATGAAGAGATTGGAGCTAGGAAAAAAAACATTCATGTGAGTTGTTGACTCAGATACCAAAGAATTTTTTACGGAAAAAAACACATAAAGGGATTGAGTTACTTGGCAAAATATGACTCATGTATTTGGGAAGATGAGTGGGGTTTTTATTTTGGGTCTGCAGGGAGCTGTGTGAGAAGCATTATAGGACCTGCATGCTGGATATTTCTGAGCATAAGTAGGGAAGAAACCTGCCTATGAGGGGTGTTATGACATAAATATAGCCTTGATGATGTGACAAAGCTGTGGTTGGGGTTGGCAAATCTCTCCCACATGAAGCACTATTCTTCATGTGAAGGTGGGCTTACTATCTTCATTGTGGCTGAGGAGGTGAGTTCAGCTCTTGGGCTCCACAACTGTTCAACAGGATTAGGCAGCTGAACATTTCCAGAAGATGGAATCTGGAGAGCCAAGATATTTTCTTCTGGTAAATATGTTTAGGAAGCAAATGGGACCTCGGTAGTCCCAGAGAGGTTTCCTCCAAATCTCCTGTGAGTCTAAAATTTATGTTGTTAACAGCTTCTATATTTGATAGCTGTGGGGACGGTGAATGCCAGGTATTCTTCCCACTTTATCTTTGCTATCAATGTCCAATTCATCATTCCATGAAAATGGCAAAGATCATCTTTGTCCATATGTGTTTTAAAAGATATTCTTTATTTCTAAATGGTGCTGTTGCCCAGATTAATGAGTCTTTATTTTTGCAGTTTGTCTCACAAAACTCACTTCTCTAATGAAGACATGGAATGGCTTTATGTAATAAACCTGGGTCTGGAACAGGAGACACAATACATAGAACCAGTGGACTGGAGTGCCATGACCTTTGGCAGGTGGTTTTGGATCAACCACCTATCCAACACCTTGAGTGGGAAGGAGAAAAGTGGCTGTCCTTTGAATTCTTTGCCATTTGTTCAGATTTTTCTTTCTCACTTTGGGCATCGGCATCCAGTCTCCTCTCATTGACACAGTCAGTCAGGAATTAGGTTTCTCAGTAGAGGTCAAATGCCTTTGGGCAGCAGGAATGTGTCTCTGATACACATATACTGAGCTGTAGACAATAGTTTGATAAATTTCCTATGAATTTCTTAAGACCAAATTACATTTAGGCAGCCCAAATCTATTCAGCACTGCCTTTTCACCTTCCCCAAAGATCTTCCAGAAAAGAGTCTTGACCTCGCATCCTCCCCTTCTTATCCTTGCATGCACTTAAGGTGGAGGAAACCTCTTTGTGTCTGATTGAAACTGAAGAATTCTCCCAATGCAGAGATTGGTAGTGATGAAGCCCAAGCACAGAAAGAGTGCCAAGAGACAGTGGAACAGGAGTGTTGTGGCCTATCTCAGTAAGTCTACCACCATGATAAAGATGCCTCTTAGTATGAGATGCATGCCACCTCTCCAGAAGAAGAATGGGCCAACTCTCCAGAAGCAAAAACTGAGTAATCCTTTTGAGGCCCTGGAGAATATTGTTGGCCGCAGAATTTCTCATGGCTGGAATGAAGCCAATGAACCAGTCACCCAGTGGAAAGCCATCATTCTATATCAACTGCCAACATTTCCCTTTCTCTATTTGTTGAAATATGATGGGATTGATTGTGTCTATGGCTTGGAGCTTCACAGTGATGAAAGGATTTTAATCCTTAAGGTCCTGCCTAATAATGTGCCATTTCCTCAGGTGACAGACACTCATCTGTCATACACCATTGTTGACAGAGCAGTGAAACATACATTCACTGGCACTAATGGCTCTAAGGAAGACTGGAATGGGATGGTCCTAGAGGAGGTGCCAATCATGATGACTTGGTTCTATATTACCTACAAGAAAGATCCGGTCTTGTACATTTACTACCTCCTGGATGACTACCTTGAAGGCAAGCTCCACATCATGCCAGGCTCTAAGGAGGAGTGCAGTGGCGTGGTCCCAGGTGTTTAGCAGACCATGATGACCTGTTTCTACATTGTCAAGGAGAATGATACAGTCCTGTACCTTTACCACCATCTTGATGACTCCATTGAAGGCAATCTCCTCATCATGCCTGAATGTCCTCCAGTAGAGGTGACTTTGGAATTAGGCAGGGATTCCTTGGCAGGCAAAATTGTGCAGTACAACAAAAAAGATGGAACCCAAGAGATAGGTAAAATTATTTGCCAAGTTCCCACCAAACCTTCTGTGTGTTTCATCAAGTTTAATAATGACTTCCATATCTATGACAATGAATTCTTGAAGAAATGTTAAAGTGAAATTCTCAAATTTTGAGGGGCACACTTAAAACGCTGTTTCTGGAATGTGTTTTTTTTTCAGAGATACCTCAGTTCTTCTATTAATCCTGGTATTTTTTCCAATGGAATATTCTTGCTTGAAAAATAAAAATTTGTGAACATGTTGTGATGTTTGGTGAATGATGGATTGTGATTGGTGGATGGGACATCACAGAAATACATGCCGCAAAACAAAGCAGGATTGATGGTCTTTCCCCTTGGAGAGGATGGACTGGGGATGCTTGGTGTAGTAAAGGACAAGATGGCTGTCTAGGAAGTAGTGGAGAGGGGACAAAAGTTATAGGATCTCGGGGCGGGATAAAGCTTGAGGGAAAATCATGTCAAATGGAAAGATGTGACAGATATCAGAGTGAGGTATTCGGACTTAAGAGGATAAAGAGTAGATTAATCAGGAAGGGACACAAATGTATACTCAAAATCAGAGAATATTAGGTTTCATTTGATGAATAGTTTAATTCGTACTGGCTGTAAGTCACTGGATGTTTGATCTCCACTGGAGCATGTTGAGTTACCAGGAGCTTCCTTCTTAGAGAAAAGTGTCTACTCCCAGTTGCTCTTCTGCAGTGGTATGGAGGTCAAGCTACCTACTTCCTTTTTTCAGAATTCTTTCTGCCACCTACTTTGTCATGCCTGGTTAGGTATGTCTTGAACTCTCATAGGTCATTGCATGCCATCCAACCCTTGTGAGTTCATTTAAATAATTGCCCTGCCATATCTGGAAAACAGTGTTCCCTTTCATTGATCATGTTCTGTAGGACTTGGGCTATAAAACTCATCGAAAGACGCACCCACACACAGGATAAACATGTACACATTGATGCCCACTAATGTGTGACATGCACACATATGATGAATGCACCGATCTCCATCAAATCAGTAAACGAGGGAATCCCTGATGCTAGGTGGAGTGTGGCAAAGACACCACAAACCCATCAGATCCCCAAATACCAGTATGGTGTTGATGTCAGACTCCCATCATGTAAGGATCCTGCCATCCTGTAATGGGGCAATTGTTTCTTCCTTCCTCTTCACACACTTGGTTAAAATGTTAGAGTTGTCAAACTGCCAGTTAGGGCCCAGCATGTAGATCAGCTCTTCCAGGTCAGGTGATTTGGCTACAATTTGGGTGAGAACTTCTACCAGGGCATTCTGGTACACCCTCACCTCTTCTTATCCCAGTCCTCATCATCACTCTTGTGGCTGGGATTGGAGCTCAAAGAAGGCAAAATTGGAAAAGCCTCCTCCTCAGTGGAAAACAATGTCCATCTTTCATATGACCTGACTCTCACAGGGAATGTAGCATATTTTATCCTTCTAGGTCTCCTCATTCATTGGTTCACTCATCTTTCCAATGAATGATTGAATTCATCCATTATTCCATCTCTTTCTCTCTCTTTTCTTCTTTCCGTTCTTGCATTTCCCCCTGTATAGTAGTAATTTGAGCAGCGGGGCTGCGTCCCAGCTCCATGGCCGTCTAGCTAGCTTATGCCCCAAAATAAGAACACAAAAACTGTATTCTTTTAAACAGGCCCAGGCCCATTATTTTCAGCTTCTTAACCCATTTCTAAAAATGTATGTGGCAGCACGAGGTGTGGTTACCAGGAAAGATTCAGCATGTCTGACCTGCTGGCTGGCTGCATTGCCATCTGCCTCAGAGAGCAGAGCTCCCGTGTCTGCCCGCGAGAGTGGTACATGGCATCTCTGAGATCACTTCCTCTTTCTCACAGCATTATGTTCTCTTTACTTCTCCCACCTATGTTCTAACCTATCAAGGGAAGCAGATTCTTTATTTAATTAACCAATGACCTTCCATCACTTTATTCTTTCAACAGCTTGCCCAAAAAATCTTCCATGTCTCTTCTGTTGTATAATCTTTCATTTGTAAAGAACTTGCCTTCTCTGGGAAGGATTTTTCTGACATCTCTGTGGATGGAGGTCATATGAGGAATATCAGATGAGCAACCATGACAACTGTTATGCTGTAGAGTTAGCTGGACCTGGGATTGATTGCTGACAATCCTGTGCTATGCGTCAGATGCCCATGAACTCTGCCCCTGTTGTCAGACAGGCAGACATCACGGTGGTCACACATACTTAACTCATTCAGTGTTCACAGATCATGCAGATTGAGTTCTAATTCTTCTCCTAAACTAATAAAGAAACCAAGATTAGGAGAAGAGAAGAGCCTCAAGTAAGGCCTCAAATGGGGCGTTGTGCAAAAGTAAGTTTACCTGCCTCCATTTATGCTGTCTCCCTTTCTTAGTCAAATCCATCCTTCCATAGAGTAGCTATAGGCAAACCAATTTCTCGCCAACAGCTAAGCATAGGTTTGAGCCCGACAGCCTTTGATTTCTGAAATAAGAACTGTCCCCTTTAGGTCTCATAACAACACAGGAAGTTTTGTAAGACTGTCCCAGCAACAATTTAAAGCAATTCTAGGACACCAAAGATGCAGCAAGTTATGTTCAATGGTAATAAACATGGTTAGGATAGGACAAAAGAAAAACAGATTGGTGTACTCACGATGATTTCATGTGATTTGGCAAACACAGGCTTCTGGTTCTGAATACTTCATGCTCAGTGGGTTTTTGAAATTGTGGTGACCCTGAACCTAGCTGGAGGCTTTGGGGCCTGAAAGGACAAGCCTTGATATTTCAGTACATCCTTGTCCTTGGTTTCCCTGTTTACTGATTTCCATTCAGAGAATGTGCAGCCATCTACTCCTGGTGCCATGTCTTCCCACATGAACAGAGAGAACAACATTCACACCCAGGTTGCTTGAATCACATATGAAGGCATAAGTCACAAACAATCTCCCACAATAGTTTAGAATTGTGATTAATAGAATGATTATATCTTTAAAGGGCAAAAACTTACAGATGGCAGTCCCTGACAAAAACCCTCAGCGGGAACAGGAAAGGAGCTGGGAAGCCAGAAGGGAAACTGGAAGCAAGAGATCAAGCTGAAGGTAAACGTGGGTTTTTGAAAGAGAGAGAGACCACACCTCAATGGGCTGGTATCTCAGTGGCTATTGCCTGAAAGAGTGGAAGAAACCCTTGCAAAACACTTATTTGGATATAACAAAAAAAAAGGTTACTAGAATGTGAGAAAAAAAAACTATTTTAGTTCATTTATTACAGTCCTTCCAGATACATCACAGAGATCGGATCTCTTTATGCATGAGAGTCACCAATGATTTCCCTTTAAGAAAAAACCCACAAAACTCCCAATAACATCATCAGCATTCAACAACGTGTCTATGATTGCTTTGCCTTGCCTTTGCTTGTCAGTAAATGATGCTGCTAGTTAATCTCTGCAAACAATGCAAATTTCCCTGTAACTAAATAGACAGAATTGACAGGTTATCTTAAACACAACAGGGAGCCACACTACGATCGAATGGGTTAATCATCACCAGTGTGACAGTGACATATTTAAGATCTTTCCTTTGTCTATAAATCTCAGAATTGTCAACATGATATGTTGTCATACAGATTTCTTAGGGTTTTGTCCCACTGGTGGTTTCCTTGGTATGCTTCCACAATTTTTGCCAGATCCAATCAGTTTTGCCATGCACTCTCAGCTCCACATCATTGTGTTTCCCTTAAGTTCTTGTCCAGGCATTTTAGATATTTTGAAACTGTTGCTAGAGTATCTCATGTTCCACCTAAATGATTTGGACTGTTATTTAGGCTGAGTTTTATCTTCCATCCATGAGTTCATTGACTTTCCTTGGGTGTAATTCCTGGGACACTAAGCCTAACTCCTGGGGGATTCCTCTAGTTACTTCTCCTTGCTGAGACAGCTTACACTCTCAGTACGACTATGACAGTATTTCTGTAGCAAACATTCTTCTCAAGATGAGAAGAAATTTTAATATTACAATCCATTTGTTTTTATTTTGATTTAAACACACACACACACAAATTAATGCAAATACACTGATGATATCAATTTATTGGGCCATTCTGGGGTTGTCAAGATCATTATCTCTCAAGGGGTTCTTAGAAAGCCATGGGGTGACCCCCTCTAGGAACTTGGGCAGGTGAGGAGAGGTTGACTGCACTATGCCATGACCATAGTCACTATGGGTGCCTTGTCCTATAGTCAGACTGAGGACTATCTTGAATATCAACATGGAACTTTTGTATGGCAAATAATGGAGATCAAGTGGGTAAAAGTCAGAAAACTAGATGGAGCATCCAAGCTCCAGTTGAATAGCCGACTGATGGAGAATAAGAGCAAGGATGTCAGTAATAAAATGGCTTGGTCCACACACTGAGACACTGTGCCTGAACGAAGGGGATTTCAACTAAACCAGTGGCCTGGGAATGAAAGAACATGGGATCAAATGGAAGCTCTGAATGTGGCTGACAATTGGGGCAGACTGAAAAGCCAATGGTAATGGCACTGGCATTTGTCGGCACTTCATATACAGGCATTTTGTGATCCTATTTTATGTGGATGCATACCTTCCTAAATCTCAATGGATGAAGGTTGGGCTTGGACTTCAAACAGGTCAAGGTACCCCGCCCTCAATTTACATTGGAGTAGGAGTGGAGAGGTTTGGTGGGGGAGCGAGAAGAAAGTGGGAGGAGGAAATGAAGTGGAAATTTTGATATTCATTATTATGAAGTAATATAAAAATCAATAGAAAATGACCAATGAAGAGATTGGAGCTTGGAAAAAAAAAACATTCATGTGAGTTGTTGACTCATACACCAAAGACTTTGTTACAGAAAATAAAAAACATAAAGGGCTTGAGTTACTTGGCAAAATATGACTAATGTATTTGGGAAGATGAGTGGGGTATTTATTTTGGGTCTCCAGGGGGCTGTGTGAGCAGCATTATAAAACCTGTATGCTGGATATTTCTGTGGGTTAGTAGGGAAGAAACCTGCCTATGAGGGGTTTAATAACATAAGTAGAGCCTGGGTGATGTCACAAAGCTGTGGTTGGGTGTGGCAACTCTGTTCCACATGAAACACTAGTCTTCTGTGAAGGTGGGCTGACTATCTTCACGGTGGCTGAGGAGGTGAGTTCAGCTCTTGGGCTCCACAACTGTTCAACAGGATTAGGCAGCTGAACATTTCCAGAAGATGGAATCTGGAGAGCCAAGACATTTTCTTCTGGTAAATATGTTTAGGAAGCAAATGTGAACTCCGTAGTCTCAGAGAGGTTTCCGTCAAATCTCCCGTGAGTCTAAAATTTATGTTGTTAACAGCTTCTATATTTGATAGCTGTGGGGACGGTGAATGCCAGGTATTCTTCCCACTTTATCTTTGCTATCAATGTCCAATACATCAGTCCACAAAAGTGGCAAAGATCCTCTTTGTCCATATGTGTTTTAAAAGATATTAATTATTTCTAAATGGTGCTGTTGCCCAGATTAATGAGTCTTTATTTTTGCAGTTTGTCTCACAAAACTCACTTCTCTAATGAAGACATGGAATGGCTTTATGTAATAAACCTGGGTCTGGATCAGGAGACACAATACATAGAACCAGTGGACTGGAGTGCCATGACCTTGGGCAGGTGGTTTTGGATCAACCACCTAACCAACAGCTTGAGTGGGAAGGAGAGAAGTGGCTGTCCTTCGAATTCTTTGCCATCTGTTCAGATTTTTCTTTCTCACTTTGGGCATAGGCATCCAGTCTCCTCTCATTGACACAGTCAGTCCGGAATTAGGTTTCTCAGTAGAGGTCCATTGCCTTTGGGCAGCAGGAATATGTCTCGGATACACATATACTGAGCTGTAGACAATAGTTTGATAATTTTCCTATGAATTTCTTAAGACCAAATTACATTTAGGCAGCCCAAATCTATTCAGCACTGCCTTTTCACCTTCCCCAAAGATCTTCCAGAAAAGAGTCTTGACCTCGCATCCTCCCCTTCTTATCCTTGCAGGCACTAATGGTGAAGGAAACCACTTTGTATCTGATTGAAACTGAAGAATTCTTCCAAGGCAGAGATTGGCAGCTATGAAGCCCAAGCACAGAAAGAGAGCCAAGAGACAGTGGAACAGGAGTGTTGTGGCCTATCTCAGTAAGTCTACCACCATGATAAAGATGCCTCTTAGTATGAGATGCATGCCACCTCTCCAGAAGAAGAATGGGCCAGCTCTCCAGAAGCAAAAACTGCGTAAGCCTTTTGAGGCGCTGGAGAATATTGTTGGCCGCAGAATTTCTCATGGCTGGAAGGAAGCCAATGAACCAGTCACCAAGTGGAAAGCCATCATTCTAGATCAACTGCCAACATATCCCTCTATCTATTTGTTGAAATATGATGGGATTGATTGTGTCTATGGCTTGGAGCTTCACAGCGATGAAAGGATTTTACACCTCAAGATCCTGCCGAATAATGTGCCATTTCCTCAGGTGACAGAAACTCATCTGTCAAACACCATAGTTGGCAGAGCAGTGAAACATACATTCACAGGCACAAATGGCTCTAAGGACGACTGGAATGGGAGGGTCCTAGAGGAGGTGCCAATCATGATGACCTGGTTCTATATTACCTACAAGAAAGATCCGGTCTTGTACATTTACCACCTCCTGGATTACTACCTTGAAGGCAAGCTCCACATCGTGCAAGGCTCTAAGGAGGAGTGCAGTGGCATGGTCCCAGATGAGGTGCAGACCATGATGACCTGTTTCTACATTGTCAAAGAGTATGATCCCGTCCTGTACTTTTACCACCATCTTGATGACTCCATTGAAGGCAACATCCACATCATGCCTGAATGTCCTCCAGTAGAGGTGACTTTGGAATTAGGCAGGCATTCCTTGGCAGGCAAAAATTGTGCAGTACAACAAAAAAGATGGAACCCAAGAGATAGGTAAAATTATTTGCCAAGTTCCCACCAAACCTTCTGTGTGGTTCATCAAGTTTAATAATGACTTCCATATCTATGTCTATGATTATGTGAAGATCTGTTAAAGTGAAATTCTCAAATTGTGTTTGGGGAATGTGTTTTTTTCAGAGAAACCTCAGTTGTTCTATTAATCCTGGCATTTTTTACAATGGAATATTCTTGCTCAAAAAATAAATATTTGTGAATATGTTGTGTTCTTTGGTGTATGATGGATTGTGTTTGGTGGATGGGACATCACAGAAATACATGCCGCAAAACAAAGCAGGATTTATGGTCTTTCCTCTTTGAGAGGAAGGACTGTGAATGCTTGGTGTGGTAAAGGACAAGATGGCTGTCTTGGAAGTAGTGGAGAGGGGACAAAAGTTATAGGATCTCGGGTGGGATAAAGCTTGAGGGAAAATCATGTCAAATGGAAAGATTTGACAGATATCAGAGTGAGGTATTGGGACTTTAGAGGATAAAGAGTAGATTAATCAGGAAGGGACACAAATGTATACTCAAAATCAGAGAATATTAGGTTTCATTTGATGAATAGTTTAATTCGTACTGGCTGTAAGTCACTGGATGTTTGATCTCCACTGGAGCATGTTGAGTGACCAGGAGCCTCCTGCTTAGAGAAAAGTGTCTACTCCCAGTTGCTCTTCTGCAGTAGGATGGATGTCAATCTACCTACTTCCTTTTGTCAGAATTCTTTCTGCCACCTACTTTGTCATGCCTGGATTGGGTATGCCTTGAACTCTCATAGGTCCTTTTGCATGCCATCCAACCCTTGTGAGTTCATTTAAATAATTGCCCTGCCATATCTGGAAAACAGTGTTCCCTTTTATTGATCATGTTCTGTAGGACTTGGGCTATAAAACTCATCGACAGTCGGACCCACACACAGGATAAACATGTACACATTGATGCCCACTAATGTGTGACATGCACACATATGATGAATGCACCGAACTCCATCAAATCAGTAAACGAGGGAATCCCTGATGCTAGGTGGAATGTGCCAAAGACACCACAAACCCATCAGACCCCCAAATACCAGTATGTTATTGATGTCTGACTGCCATCATGTAAGGATCCTGCCATCCTGTAACGGGGCGATTTTTGCTTCCTTCATCTTCACAAACCTGATTAAAATGTTAGAGTTTTCAAACTTCCAGTTAGGGTCCAGCATGTAGATCAGCTGTCCCAGGTCAGGTGATTTGGCTACAATTTGGGTGAGAACTTCTACCAGGGCATTCTGGTACACCCTCACCTCTTCTTCTCCCAGTCCTCATCATCACTCTTGTGGCTGGGATTGGAGCTCAAAGGAGGCAAAATTGGAAAAGACTCCTCCTCAGTGGAAAACAATGTCCATCTTTCATATGACCTGACTCTCACAGGGAATGTAGCGTATTTTATCCTTCTAGGTCTCCTCATTCATTGGTTCACTCATCTTTCCAATGAATGATTGAATTCATCCATTCTTCCCTCTCTCTCTCTCTCTCTCTCTCTCTCTCTCTCTCTCTTCTTCCTTCCTTTCTTGCATTTCCCCCTTTATAGTAGTAATTTGAGCAGCGGGGCTGTGTCCCAGCACCATGGCCACCTAGCTAGCTTATGCCCCAAAATAAGAACACAAAAACTGTATTCTTTTAACAAGTCCCAGGCCCATAATTTTCAGCCTCTTAACCCATTTCTAATAATGTATGTTGCAGCACGAGGTGTGCTTACCAGGAAAGATTCAGCATGTCTGACCTGCTGGCTGGATGCATTGCCATCTGCCTCAGAGAGCAGAGCTCCCATGTCTGCCCGGGAGAGGGGTGCATGGCATATCTCAGCTCACTTCCTCTTTCTCACAGCATTATGTTCTCTTTACTCCTCCCACCTATGTTCTAACATATCAAGGTAAGCAGATTCTTTATTTAATTAACCAATGACCTTCTTCCATCACTTTATCCTTTCAACAGCTTGCCCAAAAAAAATCTTCCATGTCTCTTCTGTTGTATAATCTTTCATTTGTTAAGAACTTGCCCTCTCAGGGAAGGATTTTTCTGACATCTCTGTGGATGGAGGTCATATGAGGAAGATCAGATGAGCAACCATGACAACTCTTATGCTGTAGAGTTAGGTAGACCAGAGATTGATTGCTGACAATCCAGTGCTATGCGTCAGATGCCCATGAACTCTGCCCCTGTTGTCAGACAGGCAGACATCACGGTGGTCACACATACTTAACTCATTGAGTGTTCACAGATCATGTAGATTGAGTTCTAATTCTTCTCCTATACTAATAAAGAAACCAAGATTAGGAGAAGAGAAGAGCCTGAAGTAATGCCTCAAAATTGGTTGTTGCGCAAAATTAAGGTTACCTGCCTCCATTTATGCCGGCTCCCTTTCTTAGTCAAATCCATCCTTCCATAGATTCGCTATAGGCAAACCAATTTCTCGCCAACAGCCAAGGAAAGGTTTGAACCCGGCAGCCTTTGATTTCTGAAATAAGAACTGTCCCCTTTAGGTCTCATAACAACACAGGAAGTTTTGTAAGACTGTCCCAGCAACAATTTAAAGCAATTCTAGGACACCAAAGATGCAGCAAGTTAAGTTTATTGGTAATAATCATGGTTTGGATGGGACAAAAGAAAAACAGATTGGTGTACTCACGATGATTTCATGTGATTTGGCACACACAGGCTTCTGGTTCTGAATACTTCATGCTCAGTGGGTTTTGGAGATTGTGGCGACCCTGAACCTAGCTGGAGGCTTTGGGGCCTGAATGGACAAGCCTTGATATTTCAGGACATCCTTGTCCTTGGTTTCTCTGTTTACTGATTTCCATTCAGAGAATGAGCAGCCATCAACTCCTGGTGCCATGTCTCCCATATAAACAGAGAGAACACCATTCACACCCAGGTTGCTTGAATCACATATGAAGGCATAAGTCACAAACAATCTCCCACACCAGTTTAGAATTGTGATTAATAGAATGATTATTTCTTTAAAGGGCAAAAACTTAGAGATGACCAGCCCTGACAAAAGCCCTCAGCGGGATCAGGAAAGGAGCCTAGAAGCCAGAAGGGAAACTGGAAGCAAGAGATCAAGCTGAAGGTAAATGTTGGTTTTTGAAAGAGAGAGAGACCACACCTCAATGGGCTGGTATGTCAGGGGCTATTGGCTAAAAGAGTGGAAGAAACTCATGCAACACACTTATTTGGATATAGCAAAAAAAAAATACTAGGATGTGAGAAAAAAAACTATTTAAGTTTATTCAATCAGTCCTTCCAGATACATCACAGAGATAGGATCTCTTCATGCATGAGAGTCACCGATGATTTCCCTTTAAGAAAAAACCCACAAAACTCCCAATAAAATCATCAGCATTCAACAACATGTCTATGATTGCTTTGCCTTGCCCTTGCTTGTCAGTAAATGATGCTGGTAGTTAATCTGTGCAAGCAATGCAAATTTCCCTGTAACTAAATAGACAGGATTGACAGGTTAATTTAAATACATCAGGGAGTCACACTACGATCGAATTGGTTAATCATCACCAGTGGAGACAGTGACATATTTAACATCTTTCCTTTGTCTATAAATCTCAGAATTGTCAACATCTGTTGTCATACAGATTTCATAGGGTTTTGTCCCACTGGTGGTTTCCTTGGTATGCTTCCATAATTTTTGTCAAATCCAATCAGTTTTGCCATGCACTCACAGCTCCACATCATTGTGTTCCCCTTCTGTTCTAGTCCAGGCATTTTAGACATCTTGAAACTGTTGCAAGAGTATCTCATGTTCCACCTAAATGATTTGGAGTGTTATTTAGGCTGAGTTTTATCTTCCATCCATGAGTTCATTGACTTTCCTTGGTCATAACTCCTGGGACACTGAGCCTAACTCCTGGGGGATTTCTCTAGTTACTTCTCCTTGCTGAGACAGCTTACACTCTCAGTACTACTATCAGAGTATTTCTGTAGCAAACATTCTTCTCAAGATGAGAAGAAATTTCAATATTACAATCCATTTGTTTTTATTGTGACTTAAACACACACACACACTCACACACACAAGTTAATGCAAATACAATGATGATATCAATTTATTGGGCCATTCTGGGGTTGTCAAGATCATTATCTTTCGAGGGGTTCTTAGAGAGCCATGGGGTGAACCCCTCTAGTAACTTGGGCAGGTGAGGAGAGGTGGATTGCACTGTGCCATGTCCATAGTCACCATGGGTGCCTTGTCCTATAGTCAGACTGATGACTATCTTGAATATCAACATGGAACTTTTGTATGGCAAATGATGGAGATCAAGTCAGGGTAAAAATCACAAAACTAGATGGAGCTTCCAAGCTCCAGTTGAATAGCTGACTGATGGAGAATAAGAGCAAGGATGTCAGGAATAAAATAGCTTTGGTCCACACACTGAGACACTGTGCCTGAACGAAGGGGATTTCAACTAAACCAGTGGCCTGGGAATGAAAGAACATGGGATCAAATTGGAAGCTCTGAATGTGGCTGACAATTGGGGCAGACTGAGAAGCCAATGGTAATGGTACTGGAATTTGTCTGCACTTCATATACAGGCTTCTTTGTGATCCTATTCTATGTGGATGCATACCTTCCTAAATCTCCATGGATGAAGTCTGGGCTTGCACTTCCCACAGGTCAAGGTATCCCGCCCACAATTTGTTTTGGAGTAGGAGTGGAGAGGTTTGGTGGGGGAGCGAGAAGAATGTGGGAGAAGGAAATGAAATGGAAATTTTGATATTCTTTATAATGAAGTAATATAAATATCAATAGAAGATAACCAATGAAGAGATTGTAGCTATGAAAAGAAAAACATTCATCTGAGTTTTTGACTCAGACACCAAAGACTTTTTTACAGAAAAAAAAAACATAAAGGGATTGAGTTACTTGGCAAAATATGACTCATATATTTGGGAAGATGAGTGGGGTTTTATTTTGGGTCTCCAGGCAGATGTGTGAGCAGCATTATAGGACCTGTACTGGATATTTCTGTGGGTAAGTAGGGAAGAAACCTGCCTATGAGTGGTGTTATGACATAAGTATAGCCTTGATGATGTCACAAAACTGTGGTTGGGGTTGGCAACTCTCTTCCACATGAAGCACTAGTCTTCTGTGAATGTGGGCTTACTATCTTCACGGTGGCTGAGGAGGTGAGTTCAGCTCATGGGCTCCACAACTGTTCAACAGGATTAGGCAGCTGAACATTTCCAAAAGATGTAATCTGGAGAGCCAAGACATTTTCTTTTGGTAAATATGTTTAGGAAGCAACTGGGACCTCTGTAGTCCCAGAGAGGTTTCCGTCAAATCTCCTGTGAGTCTAAAATTTATGTTGTTAACAGCTTCTATATTTGATAGCTGTGGGGACGGTGAATGTCAGGTATTCTTCCCACTTTATCTTTGCTATCAATATCCACAAAAGTTTCAAAGATCCTCTTTGTCCATATGTGTTTTAAAAGATATTCTTTATTTCTAAATGGTGCTGTTGCCCAGATTAATGAGTCTTTATTTTTGCAGTTTGTCTCACAAAACTCACTTCTCTAGTGAAGACATGGAATGGCTTTATGTAATAAAATTGGGTCTGGATAAGAGGACACAATACAGGGAGCCAGTGGACTGGAGTGCTATGACCTTGGGCAGGTGGTTTTGGATCAACCACCTAACCAACAGCTTGAGTGGGAAGGAGAGAAGTGGCTGTCCTTCGAATTCTTTGTCATCTGTTCAGATTTTTCTTTCTCACTTTGGGCATTGGCATACAGTCTCCTCTCATTGACAGATTCAGGGTCAATATTTGATAAAAATATACTGAGCTGTAGACAATAGTTTGATAATTTTCCTATGAATTTCTTAAGACCAATGACATTTAGGCAGTCCAATTTTATTCAGCACTG